CAGCTCAACGATACTCCATCCATCCAAACGGACAAAAGATTGATTGAAAAGTACCCATTTTTTAATCCTCCAGAAAGTGAAGAAAAAAAAGGGCAAGGAAATTGTCCACCACAGCTTAGTTCCATGTGACCTCTGTAACATGAATGGTCGTGAGACACATGTTTGGCTTGGCAATGCTTCCATTTCCCGACCAACAAATTTGGGACTTTGTGGCATTTTCCGATTCGATCATATCCTCAATAATTCTTCATTTTTTCTGGCCCCATTAACCTAGGCTAATCCTAGTCATCGTAAATAGTCATATTACATACTGTACCAAAAAAAATTCATCAGCTCAAAATAATTAACAGAACGACTAATTACCCTCACGTAATCGAACCATCTGTCCACTGATATATACTTCTAATCTAATCAATAATCCATCAACCAAACCTCCAAAATATTGGCCTCTAGCTAGCTTGAGTACGTCCGTCCAAACACCTTGTGCCAATTTGGCCGAAGGGGCTTAGGCTGGACACGTGGCAGGAACCCATGTGTGGCTTAGGATCCATTTGCGACTCTTCCTACAACATATTACATATTCAATTCAATTATTGTTACCCCATAATATCATAACGCAGCCACCGGCTCCATGTAGAATCATTGACCCGTTTTTTAATGAGCTGTGTTGTCGGTCGAACCCGTGGCTGAGATTCAAATCATATGGCCGGGCAGCTGAATTCCCACCCTATTTTTGTTTATTAAATGAAACAAAAAAAACCAAAAGAAAGAACACACTCATCAGCGTTGGATGCCAAGTAGGGCATAACGTTAATTTGCATCTGTCTCTGTTTTCGTTCATGTGATTGCTAGCTAGCTCTGCTGAATCCGGCCAATCTGGGTTTTGCATGTGGAAGGATTATTCAACCACAATAATGCAGTTTAATAACCCAATTTTTGGTCTTTTTTGAAATATTGCACATTCCTATACCATTAATCAATTTTGGACCAAATTTTCAATAATATTATATAAGCTAAGTATACGCTAAGTTATAGTTTGGAGAGTACAATTACATGTCGATCTGAATTAGTCGTGCGGATGATTTTCTTCTTCTGGTATAAATCCACAAGCATGTAACAACACAAGATCGAATCCGTGTCACTAAGATTCAACACACAAAACTTAATGACTCTTACTGTGTACTTTCTCACTCAAAGATTTTACAATTGTAAAGTTTAATATGTACCTTCAATTTCAATATACGAGGAAATTTGCTACAAAGTTATTAATATGAAAATCATGGATGAATTGAACACACAAAAAGAAATTGAAAACGTCTAACGAATTAATGGAACACATATAGACTTAGCTTTTAGATATTGCTTAACATATTGAATTAGCTAAGCCATCGTAAATTCGTGATGAGGTGTGTTCGTTGCCTTCTTAAATCCCAACTAGTTATCAGTAAGAGCGAACAGAAGCTAAAAATAACAAAAATCGTAGTTCACTTGAACTACACTTAACTCCATCACTGAAATTTTCTATCGAACTATAGTAGATCGAGCTAGGATGACCTTTGGTATGTTGGTTAACATATTGAATTAGCTAAGCCATCGTAAATTCGTGATGAGGTGTGTTCATAACTGCCTTCTTAAACCCAACTAACTATCAGAGCATATTAAAAACAATATATAATTCCTAGTGGCCAATCCATAAGTAAGAGCGAAGAGAGGCTAAAAATAACTAAATAAGATTTTTTAACAACTTCTCATAATTGAATCTAAATCTTTGAAGAAAAGATGAGGCTATTATTTACTTTTCTATATTCTTAACTTATTAAATACCCATATTATAATTTGATATCAAATATTAACAAAAATCATAGTTCACTTGAACTACACTTAATTCCATCACTGAAATTTGCTATCTAACTCTAGTAGATCGAGCTAGGATGACCTTTGGTATGCTGGTTAGGACAATTAGGAATGTGTAGGAGCCATTTTACGCTAATTTTAATTATGAAAAACTAGGAGAGTGACAATAACACAACTTGAGCAGGGACCAAAGCCAAATTTGCAATGATAGGATGGAGATGCCAAGTCATAATTACTTGGACATGCCGACGTGGCAAATATCAAAATACCCACCTCTCCCCAAATAATTCATCATTAATGTCGACTTCAATTTTGTACTGGACAAAATTTGGCCAACACAGTCTGATCTGGCCTTCTCATCACAAACCCTTCTCCCAAAAAAAAAAAACACAAATTATCAGAGAAAAAAAGAAAAAAGGAATTGGTGGCTTTGGAAGATCAATAGGTCACACTCAGTACCTGACTCAGCATTTTTTGGACTAATTGTTGGAGAGAAAGGGAAAGAAAGCAGTTCCTTTGCAAACAGTTAACTACTTCATTTGTCCAAACTAATTATAACTATCCAACAAAATAAACTCAAGTACGTTTAGAGAGAAAGGGTTTGAATTTCCGGTGTTGTCGTGTAACTACTAGTTTCCTTCGGTTTGGATATCTAGAACGATCACCCACTTAATTGTCATTATCATCCTTGATTACTTTTCATTAATCAATGTGATGATTCTGAATTTCTGATCCCTCCGGCCTTAGTCGTGGTTTAATGGCTACAGACTTGTCTTAACTTATTTATTTACTTTTGGGAGCTAGAGAATTGTCTTAGCTGGACTTCAAATTTCTTGAGTAATTAAAAAAATACTAATCCGAATAGATGTTTCGTGTCAACAATTTTTGTTTGAATTTTCATGAATGTATGGTTTCGTGTCAATAGTAGTTAACGTCCTTTTGGGTACTGTCTTTCTTCCTTAACCAGTTTAGGTAAATGCCAATGATAAATGAATATAATTTCTTCACTCCTTGATTAACCATTTCTGGTCTCACACTGTGATGCAGAAACTACGCAAGCTGAGGTGGTGACCAATGACAATTGTATCTGAAAAAAGGTTATAGTTTCATTGAATGATCATTGTGAAAAGGTTGCAAGTGAATTTGATTGTCATTACTAAAATAGGATAGGCATAAGTATCATACATATCTAATTTTAATTTTTCGATTCACGATCGAAGGATAACGATGGTTATAAATGTTTACGAATACACTTGCTCACCAGAGAATCATTTAAGATGTGTTAACAGATTAATTTATTTAAATTAATTAACAAGACAGAACCCAAAAATCCATAACTGAAATGCTACTCATGTGTATACGTGTAAGAAGTACAAATTTTGGAAATTCTAATTGACACGGCATCAGTTTTAGGCTTTTAGCTCTCATTCTGCTGCTGTGCAAATTTGAGATTCTTTGGCTATAGAAGTATTTTGTAATCTTTGAACACAAGGCTTTTCTTCGAGAAAAACAAGATGAACTAGTCATTTTGCGCCCAAGAAAGATAAAAACCATTCTTTGCTCTAATTTGGGAACCTAGTCACCTATATTGTTTTTATTACGGAACCCCCCAAATTAATTTAAGTGTGAAAGTTGTGAAACTAGCTAACATTTCAATTTGATTTGCATCTTATAATATATAAGTGACTGAATTAGTATTAATTATTCTCCTTTTGCATTATGCTTATTGCTTAATTCCCTTTATTATATGGCCTATCCAATAATTAATTGATATGAACTTCTTAACTAATTATTTGTCCTAATCATTTGCCCCTTTTTATCTCATTACTGCAGTAAGGGTCATCTACTAGTTTTTTTACTAAGGTTGTGGATGCGTCAAACTGTGCACGAGCATCTCTACGTTCCACTCAGGAAAAAGTCATTCCACATTCGGCTTATTTACTAACGACTTGAGCTTGAACTAAACCTTCTTCAAATCACAAGCAAACTTGACTTGGTGGATTGTTGAGCTCAACTTGTGATTTGACTCATTTTAAGTTCATGAGCTTACTCAAGACTGTGGCTAGCGAACCAGCTCTACTAACGACGTATAGGGAAATCCATCTATAACTTGGCTTATAGATAATTTTTAGGTTTGTTAGATTGTATATATATAATAATAATAATATATGATGATTTTAGACTTAACTACATGGAGAAGTGTCATTTTTAATTGAAAGAGAAATTATATATCAGAGATTGATTAGATACGAATTACTATTAAATAACATGATGTGAACTAGCTAAAATTTATGAACTAAATAATATGATACCAGCAGAGTATATAAACATGTGATCAATCAATGGTGAAAATTTAATTATTGTTCTTTCCTTTCATCATATTAATCATATACATGACGCACAAATATTAGAAAAAAATTAATTTATAAATCATTTTGAGTTCGGTTTAAATGTGCATCATTTAGCCTCGTAAACAAGTAAAGCTCGTGAACTAGTTGATGAACGTAGGTTGTGGGCTCAACAATGAGTTGACCTCGAGTCGACGGTGATCCAACATTTTAGTACAGCGCGCGGCTTATATTTTTTAACGAGCTCAATCCGAAATACAATAAAACTCAACTCAACTTGTTTACAATCCACCCGCTGTAGCCCATTTTCATTCTCAGTCTAACGTATAACAAACCTAACAAAGGGGGGAAGTAAGAAACGCTAGCCAGCCACTGTTATCAAACTCACGTGAAAAATGTGTGCTTTAACTGCTTGATTAGGCCCCTCCCTCCCTCCACCCACCAACGTTCCAACTGCTCCAATCAAATTTTCCCATTTGCCCAAACAGAGGCTTTAACTTTGCCCCCACAAACTTATTTTACGAGAGTTTTGCTTTTATGATTTTTTTTTTTTTTCTGTATGAGAAATCATAATCTGAGTAGATTATGTGTAGTTTTCAAGATACACATATGATGTTGAGTCTTTGTGACGGATACAAAAACTTGAACAAAGTGTATTGCTCATCAAAATACTCAATCTTAAGTTCATATCTTGTTAATTTGGTGAGAACGTGTCAATGAAGTTAAAGGCTGTTTTATTTTGACATGAGACCAATTGTATCATACGAAGATATAAAACTTTCCATTGATGGCATATGTCAACTATATCAACTTCGCTGTAATTACCAAAAACCACAAAAACCTATGCTCACATAATAATTTCGGCAAATCATTGAAGGACAATCTGGTTCTTGTAAGTTGTAACGACCCGAGATGGATAATAGTTATTATCATTTCAATGTTTAATAGTCATAGAAATTTTTTATACAGATTGATAACGAAGACCATGTGTTTATATAATTCTATTAACGAGTTTATTAGATATTCATGATATTCCATTAATTTTACACATATGCCTCAGGCATCATAATAAGAAAAAAAAATACTAAACTTTGAAGGAAAATTCACACTTTTACCAAAAAATAAAATGTTAGATATTACCAAACAAAAAAAATGTTTAGCTCATCATTCATATATGTAATGTAAGTAAACGTCATTAGAGAAGATTCACTTCCCTTAATCATCTTTGCTTTTCCTTAATTATAATAATTAATTATCAATTGTATACTAACCCGGTTCCCCCAGACTTAGAAACAATCACAGTCCAACACAACACCGCCCAAAGAGCAGGAATTTCATTTTTTATAATAACTCAAATTTCCTTTATCTCTTTTAATTTTCTGTTTCTCTCCGACATCGAAAAAGGAAAAAAAAAAAAAACAGGCTTCCGCTGTATAAAAGCAGAGAGCCCTCGTTAAAGTTTTCCCAACTCAACACAGAAAACAACCCTCCGCCGTGTTCTCCTCCGTCTCTCTCTTTCTCTCTCTGTATCTTTCTCCGGCTCAAAATTTAATTCCATTCTCTTTATGGGAGACCACAATCAGCCTTTCCTGCCGGTCTCCGGCGACCCAGAATGCGTTCCGATACAAGGCGACGACGTCGTAGACGACAGCCTCCACCGGCCGCAGCAGGGATCCACCAAGAGTAAGCTGCTTCTCGCCGTGTTCAGCGGGATTTTCGTGGTCTGCTTGATCCTCGCAGGAGGCTACGATAAATCCGGCGTCGTAAAGGTCGCCCAATTGGGAGGCGTAGATGAGCTGGGTGTGGGCCCAATTGAGATGCCAGCTGGAAGTACGATTGTTAGGCCGGCTGTTTCTCGTGGGAAATCCGCCGGTGTGTCGGAGAAGGCTAATTTGTCACCGGAGCAATTGCTCGGCGGCGGGGAAGTAAGCGGTGACGGGCTGACGGAGGACTTCCCGTGGAACAACAGCATGCTGTCCTGGCAGAGGACGGCGTTCCACTTCCAACCGGAGAAGAATTGGATGAACGGTACGGTTCTACTTTTCTCCGTTGTTTTTTTCCCCGTTTAAAAAGCTTTTTTAATAATTAAAATTTGAAGAAAGATGGAAAGCGCTGGATTGGCCATTTTCCTTGGTTTTCTTGATTCCTTCTCCCCCCTTGATCTCTTGAGTTAAAATTCCATTTGTTTATTGCTTGGCTGGCGTTATGGGCTAGAAAGTGGCCACACTTTTGGATTCGATCTACACTAATCTCATTTGATTTAAGATATCTACAAGTCAATCACGGAAATGCGTGACAGATCAAGGGATAGTTGAGCTCCTCTTATTAGCATGATCTGATGTTTGTTGACGTGATTGAATTGTGAGTCACGTATTAGCTGCACATCGTAATAATCTCATACGTGATATTTTCTACATAAATTTAACGAGTAAGAATTATGAAATGTGCAATCCAATTGCATCAATAAATACGGATGTCTATACCCATTCTGAGTCTTGGCAAAAACATTCACTTCATCCTACCAACTCTAACCCTTAAAAATGTATAAACATTTTGAACAGAAACTCTAATCTAAAGTTTCCGTAAGTAGTAAATTTTTATGGGAAAAATATGATCCTCATAAATACGTGTACAATTTGGGGTTTAATTAAGTAGTTGCCTTTTAGTTGTCTACAAAATCTATATTCCTACAGTGAACCAATATATAAAAATAAGAGGCCAGCCCTTTTCTGTTGGTCATAATCATCGTCATCATATCATATATCTCCTTTGCTTTATCACAATTTTAAAGGAAAGAATTGGTCTGGCTCACAGGCTAGGTCCTACAGAAAACTTTGGCTCCAGCTCTTCATCAGTGTTTCCTTTATCTTCTTTTAATGTTTAATTAACTGTATATTGGCATTACAAATGACTATTACCGATTACTAATGATCTTTCCTTTGCCTTCTCCACGGTCGCAATTCTTGGATCGGCTTCAGATCCCAACGGTCCACTCTTTTACAAAGGATGGTACCACTTCTTCTACCAGTACAACCCAAACGCCGCCGTTTGGGGCGACATCGTCTGGGGTCACGCCGTCTCCCGCGACATGATCCACTGGCTCCACCTCCCTTTAGCCATGGTGGCGGACCAGTGGTACGACGTTCAGGGCGTCTGGACCGGGTCCGCGACCATCCTCCCCGACGGAAAGGTCATGATGCTCTACACCGGTTCGACCAACGAGTCGGTCCAGGTCCAGAACCTGGCCTACCCTGCCAACCACGACGACCCGCTCCTCCTCGACTGGGTCAAGCACCCGGGCAACCCGGTCCTCGTTCCACCACCGGGTATCCACCACAAAGACTTCCGCGACCCGACCACCGCGTGGAAGACCTCTGAGGGAAAGTGGAGGATCACGATCGGTTCCAAAGTCAACAAAACCGGAATCGCCCTGATCTACGACACCGACGATTTCATCAATTTCGAGCTCAAGGACGGGTTCCTCCACGGGGTTCCGGGTACCGGAATGTGGGAATGTGTCGATTTTTACCCTGTGGCAGTCGCCGGTGGCAACGGGCTTGACACGTCGGTGAACGGTGCCGGAGTTAGGCATGTTGTGAAGGCGAGTTTAGACGATGATCGGCATGATTACTACGCGATTGGGACTTATGACGAGGAGGCCGGAAAATGGTACCCGGATAATCCGACGATTGATGTTGGAATTGGGATTAGGTACGATTACGGTATCTTCTACGCTTCGAAGACATTCTTTGACCAGAGCAAGCAGAGGAGGGTTCTTTGGGGCTGGATTGGTGAATGGGATAGTGAGGCTGCTGATGTTAGAAAGGGATGGGCTTCTCTTCAGGTAATAAACCTAAACTTAATTTGGGAAACCCTCGAATTTCTGTGGGTTGAATTTTGATGCAGACACTTATTGAACCTCCATTAATTGAATGCAGGGCATGCCAAGGACGGTTGTTCTTGATACCAAAACAGGGAGCAATCTGCTTCAATGGCCGGTGGTAGAATCAGAGAGCTTGAGATTGAGAAGCAAGGAATTCAAGAATGTTGTAGCTAAGCCTGGTGCGGTTGTTCCAATCAAGCTTGAAGCAGCCACACAGGTTTGTTTGTCATAATGTGTAACGAATGTGACTAGTTACGGTACAAAAATTTGTTTAACTTACTAGACAAACACTTCTGTTTTCATGAATGCAGCTAGACATAGTCGCGGAGTTCGAGCTCGACAAAGAGGCGGTAGAGAGAGTAGCTGAATCTGACGAGGAGTTCAAGTGCAGCAGCAGCAAAGGTGCAGCTCACCGTGGCGCATTGGGACCATTTGGTCTTCTGGTTCTCTCGGAAGAGACTCTCAGCGAGCAAACCCCTGTATATTTCTATGTCGTCAAGGGGAAGAACGCAACTTTAAGGACTTACTTCTGCGCTGACCAATCTAGGTAACATGACGATTCTAACATTTCTTCCTTGCTGCTAGCTACATATGGTTTTCCATGGTTGTGCTGAATGTAATGTATTTCAGGTCGTCTCTGGCGAACGATGTGAACAAGCAAATCTATGGGAGCTATGTACCAGTGCTAACAGGGGAGAAATTTGCGGTTAGGATGTTGGTAGATCATTCGATTATCGAGAGCTTTGCACAAGGTGGGAGGTCCGTTATTACGTCGAGAGTTTATCCAACGAAGGCGATTTATGGAGCAGCTAGGCTGTTTTTGTTCAATAATGGGACAGAGGCTGGTGTCACAGCTTCTCTTAAGGTTTGGCAGATGAATTCGGCATTCATCCGGCCATTTCCAAACCTGTAGATGGATATGATTGAATGAGGAAGAAGCCCAACAACAAAAAAAAAAAAAAAAGGTGATAAGAGGAAGATAAGTTGGTGATCCGCTATGATTGCAAGGTGGGTTAAATTTGGATGTGTGATTGTTTTGTTCTTTGGGATGAAGGGGGGATGTGAGCTTGTTGTAAGTAAAGAAGAGAGAGGGGTTGTAATTGTGATTGGGTGATTGATTCCCAATTTCCCAATGAGATCGGCATGAAGGATCTTGCATCTCCCTAATCAGTCTCAAATCAAATAGTTGATTTGCGATATCTGGTTCAAGATCCTCACATTTTCTTTATGTTCTTTTTAGTTTGAGTTTCATAATATGATGTATAATGTTTCGGGATTTTTATGATGTTGATTACATCGACGTCATTACTGAAATCAATTAACGCCATTTTTGTTTGTGATGATTCATAAAGTTTTAAGTTTCCGTAAACATTATGTTGAAACGAATTCTAGTTGTGTTTGGAGAAGTTTAATAGGCGCTAAAGATGAGATTGTGGATGCATTTCGGACCTTCGGTGGAAGGTTGAGGGCAGAAGCAAAATATGCATTTGAAACGGTTTCTGCTAGCTTGGCAAACCTTGATTTACTCTTAATCATTAACCCACTGGATTCAGTGGCTACTGAAGACATCCTAATCGACAAGGATTCTTGTTCATGGAACTATGAGAAACTTCAAGATCTTTTTACTACGAATGACTAGGTGGCTATCTCAATGAACCTTCTTCATAATCCACATGGAAGGATGAAAGAGTTTGGATCAACACTAAGAACGAGATATGAACTCTGAAATCGACGTAGAAAAAAGATATGACAGTCCCAAAATTTTACGATTGGTAGACTTCGGAAACATGACCTTTGTGGCTTTGTCCAAAAGTAGGGATGCAATTTTGACCTGACTCGTTTCACCCTACCTGTTTGACCTGCTTTGGAGCGGGCATGGCTACTCTCCCTCGACCTGACTTGCGCTGACCCGCCGCCTCATTCTCGATCCGCCTAAATTACCTGTATATAATTTTACTTTTGTTACTGCATATTTTAGCTATATTTTACTTTGTTTCTTGGGGTTTTAATGAAAAAATTGAGTATTTACTCATGTTTGCCTTCTAAACTTAATACCTATTGGATCGACTTGCCCCGATCCACACTTTATGAAGAATTACCTGACTTGTACCTGACCTGCAACGTGACGGATAAGAGTATCGAGATACCGCTCGGGAACTGTCCTTGCCAATTGCCATTCCTTATCAAAGACATTCTTCTTTAAACAAATTTGTATGTTTCCTATTCAAACTAAGGTTTGTTTTTTTTTAATACTTTTTTTCTTATTACCGGAGCCATGCTTTTCCGGAGAAACTCTGAGATGGGAACGGCCGCCAATATGGGCTCTACTATGAAGACAATGCAAAAAAGTCATTGATTGGTATGAGCTGAAGTTGGGCCTTAAAATAACTGTGCGAACTAGGCCTGAGATCGATGTTGGAAATTTCTTGAATTTGTCAGGCCTCTTAGGCTCAGTAAGAACAGTAGGCCCAACCTTCGTCTAAGTTGCTGTTCTACGAAATCTGCCTCTGAAGTATTCTTCGAGTTCCATATGCTCTTTACTTGCGTAGTGTGATAAGAAATTACGGAGATGAAGGTAGAGGAAGAACCGAGAAGATAGCATGTAATTAATGACAGTGGATTAGATTAGGTTAGTGGGAACATGAATGATAACGGCCACTAGTTATATAATGATTGAGTTTTCCCCCAACCAAGTAATGATAAAAAGGACAAACAAAAAGCCGAGAAAATATGCTCCATCGCCGGAACCAGAATGTATAGCGCCTGCATTCCAATAGTGCACAACACACAATTAATCTTGGTAGGGGTATACATGGTTCGGGTGGTTCGGGTTTAGTTATTTTAATCATCCGACCCATACATTACGGTTTGGGAAATATCAAACTCAAATCCACCCAAAAAAATTCAAACCCTACGGTTTGTTTCTAATTGGGTTGGGTCAGGTTGGAGATATATTTAAGTAAAAATCCAACCCAACATAAAATATATAATTATTCTACACCATAAAAATATTTTATAGCTAATTAAAATTTTGAGCGAATGAACCAAAGTGAAAGGTATCAAAATTCACAAATGTTATTTAAATTTTAATAAAATGTGATTTACTTTAACATATGTCTTGTTTTTTTCACGATATTTGTTGAAATAGGCTAAAAATGTTATAAACAAACGCATCCATCATATGTTATTCTATTAAATTGTACACAAGAAAAAGGATTACGTGAATCATAACTATATTCAATTTATGTCTAAACTTTAAGTCGAAAAATGCATTAAATTAGGGAGACCATGAGAGAAAAACATGGTGAAATATCTTAATTTTCTCATAAGTATATGGCTATATACGACATAAATATTTTTTAGATCCGAAGTCATACTAATAGTTGGAACACGGGTTGGGTCGGGTTCTACGGGTTTGTAATCCAAAATCCAAACCCAACCCAAAAGAGGCGGATTGTACAAAAGAAAACCTTCACCCAACTCAAAACCTTCGTTTTAACGATAAATACGGGTGAGTTGGGTCGGATTGGACGGGTGAGTCGGTTTGCGGGTGTTGTTCACCCCTAATCAGTGGGATGTGGGAATATGTTTTGAGAGTTTGACACTCTTGAATATCCTTCCTTCCTTCTTTCCTTCATGATTGTGTGGCATTTTGTCTTGTGGGTGGGAATGGGATGCGCTGATGGAAATGGAATCATTATGAATGCAATTTTCATCAAGAAGAAAAAGAAACAATAACAAAATCAGAATAACTCCATCAATTGCCTGCTCCGTCACTTGCTTGGTGTTTCTAGAGGTTATTAATTAACGGAGATTCGCTCTATTACTTTTCTAGGAGGGAGGATCCAGTGACTAGGTGCTTAGTCACTTGACTAAGTCTCTTCCAATCCTTAGATCTGGATATAGCAATCTGATGATAAAAAATGGGAAGGGCTATTTAATTAATGACAGGGTAGTTTGGGTATTATGGAAAATTATGAAGTATACAAACCGGACTTACAATCAGTACAAATCATACAAACAGTACAAATTAGAGCGACAAAACATTTACAAACATTACAAACATATGAACTGTACAAAAAATACAAACTAGACCGACAAACAATACAAACCATACAAAAAGAAAAAACAACCAGGTTGACTTTGGAGGCTCTGTCCCTATATAGAGGGGCTCATTCCCAAAGTCAACCCGGGTGTTTTTTAGACATACAAACATGGTGGACAAAAATGACAAACTAGACCAAAAATTCATACAAACTGGAAAAACACCCAGGTTGACTTTGGAGGCTTCATCCCTATATAGAGGGCTTCGTCTCAAAGTCAACCCAGTTGTTTTTTAGACATACAAACATTACGAACATGGTGGACAAAAATGACAAACTAGACTGACAATCCATACAAACTGGAAAAAACGCCCGGGTTGACTTTGGAGGCTCCATCCCTATACAGAGGAGTTCCATCCAAAAGTCAACCAGGTTGTTTTTTACACATAAAAAACATTACAAACATGGTTGACAAAAATGATAAACATGGTGCACAAAAATAACAAAGTTTACAAACATTACAAAAAAATCCGACAAACATTACAAAATAACAAAGTGTACAAACATTACAAAATAAACCGACAAAAGTACAAAGCATACTAACCGTACAAAATGTTACTAAAAATGACAAACCGAATCTATACAACATTACAAAATAGGTCAGCAAACATCACAAAAACGTTTAACTTTGGGGTGCAATTTAAGGTGACTTCCCATCACTACAACAAAAAGTAGGTTTCGCAACCAAAAGTTTTACAACCAAACTAAATTTGGTTGAGAAAAGGTTAGTATTTACAACCAATTAAATTTTGGTAGCCAAAATATTAACAATTTGGTTGCTTATTAAAACCAAAGTATCGATAACCAAATAAAATTAGAAGAGACCAAATAATTTGGTAGCAAAAGAATTTATACTTTTTTCCAACCAAATTATTTGGTAGCAAAAGGATTTATACTTTTTTCCAACCAAATAATTTTGGTAGCAAAATTATTTTTAGCATTTCCAACCAAAAAATTTGGTAATATAATAATTTTTACTTTTATCCAACCAAATATAATTGGTTATGAGTTTGAATAAAGAATTTTCAAAATTTTAGATAACTAAATAATTTGGTTGCAAATCCAATAAGAAAATTAAACAACTAAATTATTTGGTTATCATTGTGTTGCCGTTGTATAAAAATGTCGGTACTGTATGTTACTATTACTGAAACTTAGTGGCTGTAGTAGTAGTTATGCATAAGAATCCATCTTTAGTCTTTACGCTTTTTTTCTCCTCTATCTCCTTCCTTCTTCCGCTAAACCGGAATTTTCTTCTTCAGTCTCCTCCTCCTCCTCTTCTCAATTCCGATTCTAACTCCAATTTCTCATCTTCTCTCGTCTCCTCTTAATTTACATTCCTTATTTGCTTCGTTGAGATCCGGCAATTCCAGTTTCCCAAAGATAGCTCCAGGCGCCGTCATCTTGATCCCCGATGACAGGATTGGCACTCTCGTCACCGCCGTCATTGAGAAAGTCATGGAGGCGAAGGAGCACGAGGGGTCATCCCTGGCGTCATTGCGAGATCACGAAAGACGGCCTATAGCTCGAGTCGTCCCTGGCATCGTCGAGAGAACACGCAAGCCGAATACGCTGGAGCACGAGTGTCGCTCCAATCCCTAGCCATGGAGAGCAATCCCTCACCAGCGCCGATGTGATTTTGATCGCGAGCACGGTCGCCGCCTCGGAACTGTGAGGCCTTCTCCTTTGTCTCTCTGATTTCTCTTTGCTGAGCTAGGGTTCTGGAAGCTCTTGTCGCAGGGGAATTGATCGCGAATAATCCCGCCTCCAACTCGGGCAAATTCCTTCTCCGCAGGTGAATTAGTCTTTGCATCAAGTAAGAACTGATAGTTATCTGTTGAGGTTAATGTTCTAATTCTTACTTTGTTGTGATGCTTTGGTGTGACTTTTTGTTGTGGTTTTTCTGCATAACAAAGGTTTAATGGAAAATGAGTTCGAGGAGGTCGTTTGAGTGCTTCAGCAGGCACCGTAGAAATCAGGTTAGGGATTTTGAGTTTTCTAAAATCTAACTTCTTCGTTCTTTGCTCTAGTTGGCCAGTCTTTGGTGTTAGTTCTTGATTGCAGCACTAGGTGAACATCATTATTGATACTTGGAGCTTTCAATTATGGCAGTGGTGAAACCGACTAAGATTGAGGTCACATCTGCACGAAGAAGCCATGAAGTTGACTCAAGCATTTTCAAGCCTCCTGCTTGCTGTGAGATGAATGTGGCTCCAACTAAATGAGATGAAACTTCTTGTGATTCCTTCAAAAGCCGTGATATTGAGTACGTGAACAATAATGACTTGCATGTGATTGATTCTATCAACAAGAAGGCATTGAACAAGCTCTATATTACTGATAATGAACTAGCAGCAGGTGAATTACTTTGACAAAACCTCAATTTGTCCAGTCATCTGTCTTTTTCTGGGTTGCTGAAGATGATCAACCACGTTGATGCTATACATGGCTCTTCTAAATTGAGTTTTGAATTGGAGTGCTTGCAGTGTGTCAGAGATGGATTCAGTGTCATTGATATGGATACAGATGACAAGGTTATAAACCTGGATACCAATTTTGAGGATCCTCAGCTTTGTGCAATTATTGCTTCTGATATTTACAAGAACTTGCGAGCTTGTGAGGTTTGTTCGAGTCCCTAATATGTATATGAATTAAACTGTAACTTGTTGTGGACTTTGTAGTGGGTTTAACCTCTAACATTGTTACGGTACTTATCATTTTTGTGGCTGCAGGTTAAGAAATGACTAGCAACAGATTTCATGGAAAAAAACTCAGAAGGATATAAATGCCAGTATATGTGCTATAAAGATAGATTGGTTCGTGGAGGTTGCAGAAAAGTAGACTTGTACTAGATACCTTGTATCTGTCCGTTAAATACATTGATCGATATCTCTCCGGCAATGTGATGAACAAGCAAAGTTTGCAATTGCTTGGTGTTGCCTCCATGATGATTACTGTATAAGTAACAAGTTTCCAGGTTTCTTGTTGAGTGACATTCCTTTACTGGTAACTTGCATCCATCCATTGCACTGCCTACTGCAGTTCTGCTTTTTCTTGGCTTCTGTGTGCTGACTTCTTGTTATCGTTGTATGGCCCTTGTTATGAAGACGATTTGTGAGAGCTGCTCAAGTAATCGATGAGGTCCCATCGATGCAGTTCGAATGCTTCTTAGTAAATTACATCAGTGAACTATCTCTGCTGGAGTACAACATGCTTTGCTACCCTCCATCAGTTGTTGCAGCTTCTGCCATTTTCTTGACCATGGGTAGGTCATAGATGATGAAAGCATATATTACTAATGTACAAAATTCACATAATATTTTCTCTGTTTCTAAGTCGTGCATATGATAAATAAATTCATGTTTAATTCGTCCAAGAGATTGGAAATTCTCTCTGTCAATTTTGTTTCCAGTATATACATTGTTAGCTTTTCTGCTTTTGTTCTCGCCTGATCTAATTGTATTATTGTCTT